GCACTGTTTCGAACTAATCGGCACATATTTTAATAAAGGAAACTACTCACAAGGTTGCTGAAAACTCTTCGACAGCCCACGACCGGTTTCGCCCTTCTTGAGGCTCATCAGGTAGGCCCAGCAGGTAGGCGCAGTCCCCGAGTTTCCGTCAACCTTATGTTCTACTTGAACCCAAATTGGACTGTTTTCGAGAAGTACATTAATTTGCAAATCAATTTGGTTTTCATGAGATACTCCAATGAATCTCTCGTTTATGATATTCTACAATACAACTGAATGCGCATAGTCACATAAATGAAAATTTAGCGCTTTTTCTAGTTGCTATCTCTTGAATACGGTAATAATTATCTACAAAAGTATAAATTTTTGTTCATCCTTTTCTGAGTTTGACTCTCAAAATTCTGACAATATCTTGGAGTGCACCAAACTGTTGGCGCTCCGTAAAAGGTCTCTTCCAAATTCTTGATCACATTACTACATAAGACTGAAAGATATTCATACATTGGAGCTCGTCTAGCCGTAAAAGTGCACGAAAAGTTACTCACCAAGAGATAAAGAACCATAAATCGTGTGATATCTGTGAGCATTCGGGTAAATGATATTTGCAATGGTCCAAGAGCTTCGAAGGCAGGCATCAGGTAAGTAGTTCTAGCAAAACTGACGACGTTAGCCACTGCGAATAATACATCCGATACGATTTCCGGATCATCATACTTCCATTGAAATCGTGCTGAAAATTCACAGAATCATAACGACAAACGTACTAAAAAGAAAATGTTTTCTTGTGCAGAAAGGTCCACAAAATTTATCGTGACACCTTGACATGGAATTAACAAAATTCAGGATAAAAATTATACCGATTACTGAAACGAACTCACGGTGTGAGTGAATTCGTTTTGCTCTCCAGTTACGTACCTAGGCAAGGTTACATAACAACCCTAGCTTTTGCGTAAAGGACAATGGTGCGAACACAATTCCCCTTCCTAGTCAGGATGCGAAAAGACAACTGAAGTTCACTGCGCGACACTAAACTTGCAACACTCAAACACACTTTTTTCGCATTCCTATTCTATATATCAAATCAAGGTACGAGGCTTATCAAAGGTAGGAAACGAATGCTAGTGTTCAACCGTTCTCAGATATAAGGTCTAGAGGGCGGGCTCAGTTTAAACAAGGATGTAAATAAGATGGATCTTGGGGCCAATGGCTTTCCTTCTGGTGTAGACCTCGACAAGGTGAGTTCTAAATCGTAGCACTGCTTCCATAGAGGAATGCCTACAGAATTTAATTCATTCGCCATGCGTTTACCCTTGGTGTCTAGAATAATGAGGTATATTGTGACCGAGGCCCATCGGACTGCACAGTAAGTTGATCGACGGCATACAGTGGCGGCCACAAGGCAACACTGGTGAACGTGAACACTAGGTGATAAATAATACATCAATGCGAACGCCAACCAGCAACGAAAGCTACTAAGAATAGCGCGGTATTAGAGGATGTGTAGGTTTAGTTACTTGGGAGACAGGTTGAAACAAAGATGAATTCATGACGAATCAGAAATCGACTGAGTTGGTGTGACTATCCGTGGTGTCACAAGAGGAAGCAGATATGCGGTGATATTTATGAGGAATCCTCTCCTGAAAGTGGCTACAAAATAGGGTTTTCTGAATATCCCTTCATGTCCTCATAGGAACCCGATTTTCAAAGTTCGGACGAATAGCATCGCATGTTCAGAGGTTACCACTTAGGTGGAATCAGTGCGGCCCCTAAAATTAGGTGGCGGTTTCATGTATGCAAATGTACTTTGCTTGAAAGCACCGGGAAAAAAGCATTTACATTTTGGTATATAGTTCAAACTGTGCATAGTTTAATCCAAGTTCTGGCGCTTGATTTTGTAACAAAACTTTGAACAGTTCATCCAGTTTACTGAACAAGTTTACCGAGCAAGCTCATTTTCCCTATGATTTAAGATTGTGAGTTTCCCTGTTCTGGGTGTTATGTCCCGTTCCGTTAGGCTAGTTTTTTGTCACTGACCACGGAGCTAACAAGGAACAGTCACCTAATGGAGCGCGATATCTCACCTGAGAAATGAGGCGATCTGGTGCAGCACATTCAGTTGCTTGAAAACATCATAAGCAAGGGAATCAGCTGAGTTTCAGATCAGTCTCCCATCAAAACTAAATTAGTATGCAAATGAATGTATTTCGATAAGAGTCAGGTAATTTGTGAATGCACTAACGCCAGGTAGGACATCGAATACGGATACATCGTGGTAAAAAGGTTGAATACGTGGACTTGGGGGTCGCTGATGATTATTCACACACTGTTAAGGATTTAGAAGATAGAGTTGAAATGAATCCGAACTCGTCCCTCGAGGACCACCGAATAGGCTCGGGACACCTCTGAAATACTTCAGGATTAGTATGCATGCCCCCCCCCCCACAAAGAAGATATCCAGCTCTGGTATTTAGTAAAGCGTCTACAAAGTGGTGGAACATATTAACAAATGTTTTCTTCAAAATACTAACGGCAAGTTAAATCGATCACCACTGCTTTCTTGAAATCGGTTTCTAACACCACAATGTTAGAGGAATTTCCACATGTTTTTTGTTTCGGTTTCATTGGTGGCTATATATATATATATATCATTCCTTGATTCTCCCACCATATTTGTTTTAATGTGCAACGTAATCTGTTCTGGAAGGTCACCCTGAGAGTGTTTTCTATCAAGTAGCTGATACACTGGTACGACATTTACTTGAAACGACTTTTAACTTCAAAACGTTTTTAGCAAATTTTACTGCCGTAAATTAAACTTTATAACTGTCATTACCTTTCCACATTTACGTAATACACCGCGGTAAAGACTTTTGTTCATTAGTCCCCTGACGCACTTAATAAAAGTCGTTTTTTTGGGCACTTTGGAGTTTGTGGAAATGAGGTTATCTGTACGGGAAGCCTGCTGAAAAGCTTGAGATTTTACGTCACCACGTGGAATGATTTTCATTTTATTACCAGAGACCTGGTATCCTAAGTCACACAGCATGTGGTAAGCTTATGTATACTTATATTTTTCTTCAAAGTTCAATTACTATCAAATTAAGTTCGCACGATTCGTTGGCCTTTAGTATCCTTTGTTCGGAGGGAACTGCAGAATACACTTCCCGAGGATCTTATCATTTTCCTGTCTAAATTGCGAGCGATCAGATGATTCGTCCAATCACCACACGAGGCGGCTATGCCAGAAATTGTCGTCTCGTCTTATTTTCAGACACATTTGTGTCAGGTACTTTGAGAGCATCTCGATGAAGACATAAAAATTAATAGATTGACATACTATGATAGTATAGTGAGACATACATATACAACGACCGTCGTTCAACCCTCAGTTTTCACCAATGAACTCAATCAATGAACGTGTTTTGGACGCGTCACACTTTATAATGACTAGATTGATTCCATAGTTACCGTGGCAACTCACTTGAATGCCTTGTCAAAGTTGTGACGTTAATTTATTTTGTTTAAAAACTTCGAGATTTCCAGAATTCATATGGAGATATTTTAACTTCAGATTTTTCACGTAGAAAGAGTTATCCGAAGCACAAATTGCCTCATACACAAAAATCCTTGAAAGGGAAATGTCATCAAGGAGCCAGAAAGGATTCTCATCAAAACTCTACTCCCAGGTTTCTGTGAAATTCCCCAGTTCTGAAAAAGCTGAAAAAAATTGAGTTCGGTTGTGGTTATTGGCAGTTCTGTTGTACCTGTGTATTGTAGAATATTCGTACACTACCTAGTGGGTGCACTCAGCGATTTGGCGTAGATTGTTGGTCGCAGGTTAATCCTCGACAACAACGATCCGGCAATAAATATTCGGGTTCTTCTGTTACGTCAGCGAAGCCTCAGTGTTTAACCCCAATGACACGCGGCCGATGATTCGCCAAAAAGAAAGACCAGGTCTGGGAATCAGCAAAGAATTCTCAATACTTTCAGAAAAGCAGATCAGGAATAAATTTCCCAAGCATCCTAACAGGAATGGAAGAGACAAATCTGACCAGTAGGTTGTTGCATGGCTCAACTATGAATGATGATTGAGGATTTCGTGCGAAGTTCATCGCACACCAGCCCAGAATGAAGTAAGAGAGAACTTGGATTGGCAGTCTGCCTCGAAGCTTTAGGCATGCTTGATACTTGGATCGCTTAGTTGCTACATCATGTAGAGCTTCAAAATTCATCAGCCAGGAAGGCGCAAAGATGCCACTTTACCCGGTTCTACTGAAATTAATCAATTTTGGGGCTTCCAAGCCATCTTATGGCGTCCATAAAACTCTTCACTAACTCTTCACTAAACTGTGCTTTTTGGATGAGAGGCGGTTGATACCAGATACGTCTCGATTGAACCTTTTGATTTTTTGTCAGTTGCTTTAAACAGTACGCCGCTATGATCAGTCGATTTTGGCATCGTTCCCAATAATTGAGAATCGATACCATTAAGTTGCTATCTGAATCAGAGTAGGCCACTGCGCGGCGGGGTGCTGCTCCCGGAGAATGAGGCATGAGCTGCAAAATTGTGACCCTCGAGCTGATCAAATTTAGGATGGAAGCCAAATTCCAAACTCAAGGGTGATTTCTGTGTAGCATGCAGGATATCGGGGTGAATTTTAATCTGGATCTTATTGCTTGAAATCACTTGTACTACAAGTAAGTTGGATTCAGAAGAGTCCTTCAATGATTATGGTTTACAATTTTGGGGTTTCGCGGGAAATGTATTTTTGTTCATAGCCACACCACTCTCGTTTGAACGGCCGTGTTCCAGTTCTGGCGTAACTATTTGGGTGACTCCACACCAAAGGGAAGCACTGGACTCGAGTTTCGCTCTTATTAGAGCTCATCAGCAGTGCACAACCAATGGCCGTGCCGGCATTTGAACCCCGGACATCCAACATGCGAGGCGAGCGTGTAACCACTATTACACCAACGCACGTTGGACGCATCTGAATTCACACGTCTGAACAGGCGAACGTGTTCACACTTGAGCGATGTGATTGGTGTGCCCGACTCATCGAACCGCGACCCAGTAAGTGTCCTGGTTGTGACGATCGATCATGCTTTAGAAGACACAACTAAAGCAAGGATGAGAGCTGAAACGAATTGGACAGACGCTATTCCGTCCCCGATAACCCTTCTTTCCAAGGAAAACTGAAAACAGTCTGTAAACTTAGTTATATTCAGCTTGAGGAGGAAACACCGTTGCTGGCCAGTAATCAATTTGTTTAAAAATTGCTTCCCGTAAGTTTTGAGGGAGCAAGTACCTCTCGTTGTTCCTGAAGCTGATTCTCATCCAAGGCCTTCTAATATGCTCGACTTCACAAGGTCTCTTACGAGAGATCATGTGAAGATCGTATACCTTTCGGTATACAAATTAGGTCAATGAGTATGTTATCAAACTTTATATGTACAAAAACTTTGCCGACGCTTTCCTTCAACGAGCCTCTAGAAATGATTCGTTGGCTAATAAGCCTGACATCATAGAGCCAGATATAGTTAATTTATCAAGGGAACATATAATTACAACTTAAAGCGTCCAAAATATTCACTAATCCGGTACAGTCCGGCGTACTAACAGCGGCATCACATTCTTTAAGCGTGCGGTGAATAAATATACAGCTCGGAATAGCAACCAGGCGCTCTGAGATGGTTCTGATCTTGCGGGACTCGTCCGTTACTCTAGCAGATTGATCGACAACTCGACGGACTAACCGAGTGATTGGTTGGCAATCGGACTGACTGATCCGCTTGTGTCACTACATGCGTATAAAATCAAGTAATATTTCCTCAGAACCGAAGTCATATGTGAAATGATGACTGCAAAGTTAGTTTCTAAAATGACGACTCAGTGGGAACCATAGGTTGAGTTTGATTGGATTTTCCTGTGGCCGAACAAGGATGAAAAAGTTCACTAATGGTTGAAACAGGTCCTTTTATAAAAGCGAAATTGCACGCGCTTACACCTAAGAAACACTTGTGTTAAAACAAGGAACGATTCTGTTTTTTAACTTTATTGCACATCACTTAGCTGAACGCATTCATGGATTCTAAACTACCTATCCAAAATCATCCATGGTGTCAAAAACCACTTTGCCCAGTTCACTTAGCAAACTACTAAGCTTCAGCTGCCTAGTAAATAGGTACTTTGTACGAAAAACTTCTCCCGCGTATCAGGGGAACAAATCAAGCAAGGACCATTTGCCAAAAACGAAGGTATTTGAGGAACAGCTACGAGCAGTGGAAAACACCTTGTTTGAAAACCCTCAACACTGTAACATTTTGCCATATCCCTTTCTATTGTTCCCCATGTCAACACCTACCGAATGGGGAATATAGGACTGTCAACATGGTGTGCCACCATTCTTTGGTAAGCAAAGCAACTGTCAACTACGCTTCAACTATTTCGGAAGGTCCGACGAAAACCTCCAATTCTGTGGAGAAGTTTGAAAAACCCACCCGAACAGAGTTTAAACAAACTCCTCTATTGGCCCAAGCTAGTAATTTACCACCGTTAGTGAACTAACGGTGTGTAGCTAGTCTGTTGGTATTGTCAAGAGATTCGGGTAGATAGTTCTTAATTGCCACAAGGCATTTTATGGCTGCTTGGACGTTGCTTGAATCCATCGGTACTACACAGTTCGTGGGCGTTTCGATCGGTGAATAAACACTATACAGATGTGTGGTGGGTAGATGACTAGCAGTTTTGACAACTTCCATTGAGGCCGACCTTATAACTCAAATATGTAATTCAAGTTATATATATATATATATGTATATATATATATGCCACACCCTGGCGGACTTGCCGATTAACAGTAGGTAAAACTGCTACATTGGATACACGGTCAAACAGTCAAAAACTTGTCTTCGGTGTTCACTTTCGTCATGTAAGACCGGGCTATGTCATTGTAAAACCTTAAAATGTGCCAGGAAAACCCGTATTTCTGAAACGGTTATTCTAGCAATGCGTGTCCACGATCGTAATGCCCTACAACTGTCCTTGTCCGCTCGCATTACCCCATCGTTGAAATCATAATGGAAGACCTGGTGGAACATTTTCTGAATGGCAGGTGATACTTGGATGGATTTGTTAAACCCGGTTATCTACATTGGGCAGGTTGACATCCAGGAAACTTCCAGTATCATCCCTTAAGTGCCCATGCTTACGGTCTTGTACACCTTCGTGCGTTCGCATTCCATGCTCTCCTGACCAAATCGATGCATCGGAACGATTGATTTGCACGTTTTATCACCTATAAGCTATACAAAACCCGAAAGGTTGGTACAAATGGTTGTCAAATACGGGCTAAACAGTGTATGGAATAGAGATTCATGCAGATTCTGGGCGCAGTGAACGTAGTTGACTCTTAAAAACACACTACCCGTTATGGAAAGCCGTAAGCTTGCAACAACTCGGGGTTAAATTTGCCAGACGTTCAAGCGAGTTTGACTCAATACTGGTCTAAACATCAGAACCATATCACCCCCACTCAAATTCACCGTAAAATTGCCTCGTTAGGCGCACTTTGTAAACCTTAGTAATGAATTGGTTTGAGCGGAATATGCTGAAACTGATCAGGTTCTCCTAGAGACACATCTAAAAAAACTTCAGAAAATTGAGCTCTAGTATGTTCCATTTGTTTTATATACCGGGTGTTGATTTAATTTGAACTAGTCATAACCGATATATGTTATCGAGAAAACCTTGATCCTTAATTAACTGAGCAGAAAGGGTTTATGCTTTTTATATTTTGCCCATATCACATGAGAAACTGATCAACCTGTGAGAGCACCTCGAATGTTATTAAACTGATTCTGTGGACTGGTCTTCCCATCTATCCTAAGCCGTCTGCCACATATTTAAATAGCAGTTCTGCGTGTACAGGACAGGATCAGCCCATTTGGGTATTGTAACCAAAACTCAGCTCACTTCTGATGGGAGCAGAATAATATATCTTAAGGCAAAACTTGTATTTGAAAAATGACATCCCTGTGCAGAAGATTTTTTTAAAGACACTTTTATGCCCATGTATGCATATCAAAAAGAGCTGTTTTGTTTACCTGTCACCACGAGGTTGGTCATCGCGCTTAATTTTACACAGTACGAGGGCTAACAATGTCCTCTTGAGTGGTGAAGAAATGTTTGTAAGTCAGGTGTCGAACTCGGCGAGCTGCTAAACACTCACTCGGTCAACTTTGTAAAATTTTGTTACAACCACCAGTTTAACTGAATTTCCCTGCTTCCCTTTCAGTTGAACTTTTTAACCTTCCTCAGAAAATATACTTGCGTGCTGCATTCACGAAGATTTGCATTCGGTAAAGTCAGTTATGTGACCTTGACGAACACCATGTGTCTTGGTGATGGGTGAGTGTATTCCGCGTGCTCAGTGCCCTAGAATCCTACCGATGAAGCTGAGAAATGTTTCCTTTTAACAAACTGAAAATCTTCGGTCTGAATGTGAACAAAACAAGAGACTTTTAACTTATTTGTAACTAATTTGCAACTAATTTGTGGAAAACGGATGGGCGGGGTAATCGAAAGCAAGAAGGGAAGTAATCAGATCTTGTTGTCAAAAACGTCAGGAGACAAATGGCCACCACAATGTTTGAAGTTCCTGACGGACGTGCATTGAACCTGTATAGGTCTTTTAATTTAGAATTGAGCGTCAGGTATCCCCAGCAAAGTTTTCGATGTTCCTCGTGTCCGGTACACAAGAACACGCAAAAAGCCATTTGCATAAATTAAGCAAACAAATGATCACACCTGATAAAGTGTTAAACGACGCAATCTAATCTTCAACAATGAGGATGCAATCGATCAAATTCAGAGGATTTGCTTGATTATTCAAAGGATTAATTTGAGGGCAAAAGTTACCTGGATGAACCAAAATAAGCCAGCTTTTTTACTGGCTAATTTACTGTCATCTGGAGAGTGTCAAGGGTACTAGCGGCGGCAAAGAAAAGGGACACTAAATTCCAACCCCAACTCGCCCCCACATGCTCTTGAAAATCCCAGGAAGTAATCCTAAAAAATGCACTTTAAATGTGGAATACAGCTCAGCAGGGTTCGATAGGAATGCTCGACGCCGTACACCTTCCTGGTCTTTTGACCTTTCTTTCGCATGACACCAACATCAGTCGATTGTTTTCCAATTGCTGTGATAAGTAGAGCACAATAAGCCAGATTGTAACTCTGCTTACCCCTTCTGGGGACTAGCTTGGCATCTGGTGTGCTACAACTCGGTTTATCACCTGTGTCTATGAATTCACTCTGTAATAACGTGCCCATCCAATAGCGGTCTTTCTATGAAGGCGAAAAAATAAAAAAATGCAAAACTGCTTCGCCAAACTGCTTTTGTGATCAAACCGTTGTGGAAGGACTTTTCGAATCTCTCACGTTGACACATTTGACTAAATCCAACACAACCATCACACTGGATTTTATTCCCTTGGACTTCCTTAGTGGCGCATTTGAATCCGGCAAAAAAGTTCACAGGCTGCTCACAAAACGCAAATCACACAAACATACAAAAGAAAACTAGCCAAACTGACAACTTGTTCTGTTCACGAGTGCATTGTGTTAACATGCCAGTAGGTGTGGAATAGATTTAAAAGCTTGAATTTTCGGCTCCGGTCGGAAGGCGAAGAAACCACGTGATCCAAAGTGAGGTATCGACCGTTTGGTTGGCGAATTCCGAAGGACTTTAATTCTAATCCGGTATTAGAGTCAAAGACCAAGAACGAAACTGCCAGAGTTTCACACGTGTACAGGCTTCGTCTAAACGGCATCATATCTTTCAGTGTGAAAACCGCATTATTGTAAGTTCTACCTTGACTGAAACTCAATTTTTGTCCGAGCTACTTTTGACATGCAAAACATGTGATCTTCCTTAGAATAGTGCGTGCTTTTAGATACAACACAGACTGCTATAATAGTACTATAGTACAATATAACCACACATACTACATTACAGTGATATTTAATAACACCCGCGTAATAATATGACTTATCGAGATAGTGTGTCTTACACAAATGTACTTCAGATAGGTAAACGCATGCGTGACATGCTGATAGTAGCGCCTTAAGGAGCAATTGCGATATGTCATCCGCCATAAGAACTTCGGACCTTGCACTTTATTCCTATGAATAAAGACGACACTAAAAAAGATCTCCAAAGGTCTTTTAGTTCAGAAACATGTTATCGCCATCCGAAAAGGTATCCGTTTGAACAGGAGCCTGAATCTCTCTTTTGAAGTCCACATTACCATTTTTCATCGCTGCAGTCCCTTAATCGCGGTTGTTAGTACTGGCCACCCACAAGGACATCCAGTAGGTAAATGAACAGGGGACAACGTGGTATTCATTGTCAACCTGGCATCATTCTCCAGGTAATTTTGTCACCTTGGGTCGACGTAGACCCACTGAAAAATTTGCACCTGCTTATCAACAACGGGGTACCTTCGGTTGTCTGTTGAACAAAAGACCCCGGAATTTGCTGAAGTTATTCCCCTTTTACTCTCAGTCACACCACTCTCGTTTGAACGGTCATCCTCCCGTACTGGCGTAATTATTCCGGTGAGTATATACCAAAGGGAAGCACTGGACTCGAGTTCCGCTCTCATTAGAGCTCATCAGCAGTGCACAACCAATGGCCGTGCCGGCATTTGAACCCCGGACATCCAACATGCGAGGCGAGCGTGTAACCACTATTCCACCAACGCACGTTGGACGCATCCGAATTCACACATCTGAACAGGCGACCGTGTTCACACTTGAGCGATGTGATTGGTGTGCCCGACCGACCGACCGACCGACCGACCGACCGACCGACCGACCGACCGACCGACCGACCGATCGAACGACGACCCAGTAACTGACCTGGTTGTGACGATCGATTGACCCGCCAGTCAGGACTTCCCAGTCAGGTGGCGTGACACACGCCTGAAACCCTTTGAGTTGCAGTTTATATTCGAACGTGGCGCACTGTGGCTTCAGGAAAATCTGTATGAAACTTTGTCTGGAGAACTAGCTGCGCAAATGATTTTACTTGTTAACTGGATTTAGTTAAGAACCCAAAATTCGGTTGAAGGTGTTGTGGAAAAAATTATTTTGACGTTACTTAGGTAACAGCAAAATACTGAGTTATCGAACGTTTCTCCATGTTTCCCTGTGGCTTCTGTAACTTTATTGTACGTTGCGCCTGTGACGTACGTGAAAAAATACCCTTTGTTTGGTCAGTCCCTCCAGCTAAATTGAGTTATGTCCGCAATATCAGGTGTTTTAAGTGAGCAGTGTGGCTGGGCTACACGCATGAGTCCCTTTTCTCCATGATCGACTTGCAAATTCAGGCAAAGGCAGCTCTCACGGTTTTCACTTTTGGAGTCAGATTCGGCATTTGTGAAACGGAGAGTGTTTTGCTCGGTTTTGACTAGATTGCACCTTGAAATCGAACTTGAGCCGCGAAGATAGCCCGTTACACAAAAGGCCTAATCGTTTCCTTGTGAATCGTTCCTCATGAGAAACTCCCTCGGCAAGGAATTTCGGGTATCAGCTCACTAGATAGATATCAACAGAATAAATCCTGTTGTGAGCATAAACAGGTAATTCTTTTGGCCCCCAAGAATATAAGAAAGGATTTTGTTCACCGGGTTTACTTAATCAACTCTTCAGTCCGTCCTTTGGGATAAAATTCCCAGTGCTCTGTATGAAGAGACTCGAGTTCCTCTTGTCATCAGATTTATTCTTATAACAGCCAAAAAATTCCTGTAAGTACAAAAAACGCGTGGAATGACAAAGATAACGGGAGAGTTAATTTTGGGAAAGTAATTCACTTTCTATTTCAAATGTGCGTCAGACAAACAAACCGTGGTAGAAAATTCCTGCCGCATCACTATTAGCTGGATAGTAACTGAGTTGAGCACACTGGGGATGCATTGGGCGACCCTTTTCACTTGAATCTATTTTCGGTTTCAGTTTCGACCTTTGGCAAACAGACGTGCTCAACTACACCCCACCCAGAAGTAAGCGGACGTCATTGTGTATTTCAAGTTGCCTGAAACCCCTACTCACATATTCATCCGATTGGAATAGACTCTAGTGGTGCTTTAAAATGACTGTGGTTTAATGGTTTTACCAAACACTCGCTGTCGCCTTTGAGTATTGGCGCCGACAACTCATAGTTTCCCTCTTCTTCCACCATTCATTCAGGTTGATAAATTTAGTATGGTATGCGAAACGGTTTCCCTCCGGTGGAAGTGATCTGTTTTAATTATCGTGGAAATCTTGGAGGTGAATGTCATCTTTGAGTGCAAAGCCCCGACCCGTAATCACATGGTGAGATTGAAAACCCTGTCTTGCGAAGCAGGTATGTCTAAATCCGCCCAAATTCCTTAACGACCATCTATGGCCTATATATGTTTTTGTTATAAACTCAAGTTGTTCCACTGCATCTCATCAATAGGGATATTATTTAAACAACCCCCCTTATAATTCTCTCCGCTTACTTTGGGGATTGTTTTAGGCTATTTTCGAAGAACTTGTGCAATAAAACACCGCGACCGGTGACCAAGTCATAGGTGAGGTTACAACTAATTTTCAACCTCCAGCACCGATCTTCTTCCTTCAACTTATTTTTTATCCCTTCTTGAACAAAAACACAGCCTAACCTCTTCGTCAGTCCAGTATATGACGTAAACAGTAGATTCAGGTTACATTCACTTGAATCTCCAGTTTACTTCCTTTCATCCGGCTGAGTTTACATATGCGGTGTTAGCACGCATGCTGAAACCATATGGACTTGACGCCCCCTGGTTGGGTGTCACACAATCTCGGCAGGATAGTGCATGAACATTCAGTGATGACGCAGCGCGGCATTTGAGGTGGTTAAAATGGCAAAGCGTTCACGTGACTCCAAGTGACCCCGGTTGTCTCAGCTTGTCCCGTTATGATTAATCTTTGTCTGGACGTTTCATCATCATATGTATATATACATATATATATCTATATACATATATATGCCCCCCGGTTATGTACAAGTACGAGCACGCGCAATGTCATTTAGCATAAATCATTCTAGCGTCACTATAACGGGTAGTGCAAAGAACGTCAGAGTCTTTGAGTAGTCAAAAACGAAAGGATTTGTTGCCCTCATGTGAGATGTTTATTTTCATAGACTTATTTCTAACCCTGCGTTGTTCAGTCGTGGATCTCCCGTCGACTGAGCACGGAAAATCAATGCGTTGGTGGTTCTAAAACATTCGTTTGATGACACAAGTACTGTGCACTGACCGACGACATTTAAGTTTCCGGTTGTAGATAAGTTAGTCACAGTCATGCCTTTAAATGAATTCTGAGTTTGGAGTTTTTTTGGTGAATTACATCACTGTGGTTTGGTTACACATAATTTCGGTAGTGTTTGTAGGGACAAGTTACGTTGTGAAATTGAATGGAAAACAGTGCGCAAGCGTGAGAAAGGCTAAAGTTGGTTGAAGAGAAGCGTCTAGTTGGCGAAAACCGCATCAGCGCTTCGCATGATGTTCTTGCTTACATAAAGAGTAAGCTTGATAAAGATTCCGACGGCAGTTGCAAGTATGATTAGGCAGAAATATTAGGACGATTAAATGACCAGCGGTTACCTTTAAAGACGGATTCGTTAATATCAAATAAGTGGTTTCTGACGGTTTCACTACCCATTAGCAGTCACAACACTCTTTGTGTGTGTCAACAACGCGGCCTGTCTACGGAGCTTCCAATCTATTGTCCACCAGTATTTGATCGTCCCGTTGGACGTGTAAGCTAATGCAGCTCCACACAGAAGCCCAAAGTGCATTGGGGATGTGAATGTAAGAGGGTTTTCGAATGCCGCTAGAGCGTAAGAAATATTTAAAAATCCTGCTCAACGCTAACTGAATTTCAAGAAACTAGGCAGCGTGACTGTGGATTCTTAAGTTAATACGACCTAAAATTTCTGGGGGGGGGGCATATGAACCCTGCGGTATGAAAACGTAAAGTTAAAAATTCATGAAAAAATACAATGTAAACCGGCGCCTATCGACTCTGAGATGCTTAGTGGAAGAGTTGCGTTCATCCGGGGGGTTCTGAGTAGATATGGGCTCTCATGTAGATAGTGTTGGTTAGCTCCGGTAAAAGTTTCGACTTTTGAGGAACCCCCCCCTTCATTCATTCATTCATTCATTCATTCATTCATTCATTCATTCATTCATTCATTCATTCATTCATTCATTCATTCATTCATTCATTCATTCAATTCACTCCTTACTGAGTCATTAGGTTTCATCGATCACCTTTCAGACTACACATTTTAACATATAGCGTAGTGCTTGAGAATACAACGAAGGGAATTTATTGGCACCCACGTACCCTAATTTCTGACAATGCTCTAATGAGTGTGAGGATTTATCTTCTAAACTGAGCGTCGTTTTGGAAACGTATTTCTTCTCCCATATCTGCTTTCTCTTGTACTGTTATCGTACGCTTTGCGTACCCGGTGAATGAGCAGCGTGGTGCTTTTGAGCAATACGCTACTGCGTTTGCACACTTTACCATCTGGCTTCATTTCTAAGGGAGAATGTTTCTCTAGGCTCAACGGTTCCAGTAGCTTAAAAGCAATGTTTGTTTTTTAACTTGTGGAAACACTTGTTTAAACTGTGTTACGTGTTGACTTGTTTATTCGTGGATTGCACGTATTGCTTGTTGTCTGAGTGGCGCTCCCGTCCGTAGGCTTCAAATACCACAAGCTTGACCTGGTTGCCTAATGAACCATCGATTTGCTATTTTTCTCCTGGCGCCCACTTCCATCAGTTGGGCATGATAACACCGTGATTCCGTACAATATGTTTGCTGCTCAGTACAGCCGGCCATGTTTTTGAACTGATTTGGAAAGGCGCATAATGGAAGTCATATTTTATTCAAGTGGTTATTAAATCTGGCATAGTATCAACAAATAAATGTGAAAGATGTGAACAGTTTTTTATGGCCGACAAAGTCCCAGACTAAAGGGCATCCAGAAAGATCGAAGAACACTAATCTAAGGATAACCTATTTGTCGGAGGATGTCATAGTAATCTTTGCTTATTCGAACCACCGGCTATTATGAGTAAATTGTAAAATACTTTATTATTATTATTTCATCATCATTATTATTGTGTAGAACATGTGCACTTGCTGATGTTGCGATTTCCAACCTGGATGCAAGTACCTTGGTCATCTGATGGTACTTGATCACCGCCCGAGTCCAACCATCCACACCCAGTCGAGGAACAGCTGTTCACTTTGGATGCACTACGGAGAAGTGTGTACTCTAGAAGAGCTACCTCATATTTTGGATCCCCACGCCTGCATCCGGCAAGACCGCAGGATTGTGAATAGCAAACAGAGCGTACCTCTGAAATACCAGTCGCACCACACAAACTGACCTCGTTTTTTCAGGCAAACTAGAACAAAACACAGTGAAGGCCATTAAATTCACGAGTTTGAAGATATTGCATGATATCATGAGTGTTGGCATATTACGGGAAACTATTTAGACCAAATAACATGTTACTCAGTTTGATCGACCAGTGTTGATAGTATTTTGTGAAAACCGCCCGTATCGACTCGATTG